TCAATATTTATTGTCCCCTGAGATGAATATGGCTTGCAGATGGAGTTAACAATAAAATAATGAAATAGGAATACGCAATAAAAAGGCACAAAAGGAGTGCAATAAAATGTAGGAATGAGTAAAATCACAAAAACAACCAACAGTTTTATGCCACACAGGCAAGCATGAGATGATAAAACCCTGCAGGGAGTCAATAGCCGAAACGCTGAAAACCTAAAATCGGTTATCAGTGCTGCTGGTGCTTCTGCTAAAATGAATAGGTGGTAGCACTTATGACTGACACTAATAGGTTTACAAACAACTTTATCCAATTGTGAGAAGAAGCCTGAGTATTTTTCCTGCAGTGAGTGAATAATGGGACAGCTAGTTAGAGAAAAATCCTGCTGAAAATAGTTTAACATGTTTTAAAAATAGCTACTGGTAAATATCTCAAATGTTTCGAGCCCATCTTCTTGTTTGGTGTTCTGTTTTTCCAGATATTTCCAGTGTAGCTACACTGATATTGAAACTTAAAAGCACTACAATTGCAGTCCCACATTCTTCAGTTATCTGAAACATCAACAGTAAGCTAAACATCCTGTTTTGGTGTCAGTCCCTTGGGATTAGCGAGCAAAGCGCTCCTTTCTAGACTCTTCATTTTGCACCGACTTTCAACTCTCACACGGCGAGACAGAAATCCACCACGAGAGCAGGAATACACAGCAATCTCTCCACCGACAGTAGCCTCAAGGGACCTGAGTACAATGCATGCAGCAGACGAGTTGTGTTATCAGTAAAAGGATACGATTCTCCCCTTTTCCCAGATAAAAAAAAAAGCACCGTCTCTCGCTATCACTCTTGCTGCTGCTATTGGTTATTACCTGAACACAGAGCATAAAGCTAAATACAACAAGTTCACATCTGTTCTCTTGGGACTGTCAGAAGTGTAAGAAACCATCTTCTGAAGTAAATGTAGACAAGGCAGGTTGAGGGGAATGTGCGTTACACCAAAAAGGAAAAAAAGAGAGGAACTTTAGCACCGAATAAGTCCTGGGTTGCGGGGAGCACCGCGGGATGATGGGATCTCAGCAGTGTGCAGAGAAAAAAGCCCTGAGGTGATGGGTGGTCAAGGTCTTTATGCAGCAGAACACTTTTCCCCAATCTACAGTGGAGATACATGTTTTTGCTTTTGGAGCAGGAGGTTGCCTGGGTGGGCCTGGCTGGAGATTATCGTTCCTGCCCCTTTCTTCGCCCCTGGTGTCGTGCAACACCTTGATTGGGAGCAGCTGACAGCCGATGACCTGCTCAGCAAGTTAGCGGTACAGACAAGGTGCTGCAGTTTCTCCTTGGAAGCAGGAGGAGGCTGAGGCAGACTGAATACCAGGATGCTTTTGATTATTGCCTCAGAAAAATGAGACGGTTACAGGTTGCGCAGTGTCAAGTTTTCTCGGCTACCATGGGAAGAAGATCGACTGTTGTGCTTTCTTAATTAGGCCGGAGATGTTTTCTTTCCATCTGCAGGCCTCTCTGGATTCAAGTGCATTCGAGTGTGTGCTTCAGCATGTGTGTGTGTGTGTGTGTGACATGATGCCCTCTGCAGAAAGGATCGATGTTTGTATGAATATGAAGAGGGAGGTTATAGGGAAAATGCTCTTCTAGCAGATATAGTGATTTATTATACTCCACTCAGAGAGACAAAGACGTTCAGAGAAACAGAAAAAGGAGGAGCAAGAGAAAGAAACACACAGGGAAAGTTTGCTTGAGGCAATATTACCAGCCCCTGTTGTCTTAAAATCTAGCCTTCAGCCATGCAGTCAGCGGTAGTGTCAATATAGGTTATTGTATGCACACACTCGCGCACACATAGACGCACACATATTTGCAAGGTGGAAAAGAGTCATGCATGATAAGTGTGTTAGAAATAAAAAAGTCTCCGCATTGGATAGAATAAAATAAAGTTGCAGCAGAGCAAGCAGAGAGAAATGTCTGGTAACACATGGCTTGATAACACATTTTCAGCCAAGGATGCTGTTACTAGAGTTAATTCATTGTCTCACTCTGGGACTCATTAAAGTGCACAACTAGTACTGCCATTATAAGAGCACCCAAACTGAGTAAATGTTGTCCCTTACCCTTGAAAACCAGGACTCATTAAAAGACATGAGCGCAAATGAGAGCCCAAAAGGAGCAGGCGTGTGTGACCCATTTTGGCTCTTGTCTGTGCCTCGGTTTCTTGCGCGACACATACACACATTTGCACACACAGTGAAGTGGCCGATGAACCGAGGCACGATGTGGATGAAGGCCACACATTTCAAATGTGCCAAACCAAATCACATTAGTAACTTAAGTGAAATCTAATTAAATCAAGTTGAATCGGCAGCTGAAGCGGTAAAACCCCTGCTGGTTAGTTCTCCACCTCGCAGCGATGACACGTCTCGTGCTTCCGGTTACAAAGGGGGGGCTTTTCTTTCTTTTCTTCTTCAAACGCACCCAACTGTAGCTTTGTTCCTGCTCTTTCTCTTCTTTTTGTGCTTCCTATAATTTTCCTCACAGCAAACCACAGAGGGTTTGCAGATAGGGGC